GTACTATCATAGTAAATGTCATTTGTTATATGATTTATTAATTAATTATGGATTAATTGCACCTGGAAAGTCCTTTAGCATCGACGTACATCACTAGCGTACATCCCTAGGGTATTTAATATTTCTACTCACGCAGATCAAGAGTTCCCGTGCCCACGAGAGCTTTGTTCAACCTGTTTTTGGTTGAGGTCGAAATTGAACTTCGAAAAAGAATTGAAACTCTGTTTCGAATATTGAACCCAGATTTGAACAATTGTTAATGAAGAAGCAAGCTCATCCTTCTTATAAATTTTAAAAGAATTTTGTCATAAAATTAAAAGTTAAATAAAATATGTTAAGTGTTATTTTAATACCTAATTAAAATGAAGAAATCGCTTACTCATTTGTGTTGAATCTTTAGTAAGTCTATGTTAACCCTTATACTAGAAACTTATTGTTACCAGGGGAGCAGCGGGAACATTAGTTTAGGTCGAGGAAACAGTGGACGAAAAAAGTTTGAAAACCCCTGATCCAACACATAGTTGACGCGTTGGTTTACTCTACCCAGAAACAGTAGGCTTTATGATAGCCAACCAGAGCAGGTTATCACAACGCGAAATTACAATATAATGACACTCTTCCATACATGAAGAATGTAGAAGGTGCGGTGCACACCGTGAAAGTACGCATCCAGCCTATCCTTGCAGGTTGTAGTGTGTTCCACCGCCTATAAAGTGAGGAACGATAATATGGGTAAAGTAATGCACGGACGATTAGCAAGATAATACCGGTTTGCGTCCTATATCCCGTATTACAAATTCTTGTACCATCTTGAAATAATGAACGGAAGCTACACTACAGAAGAAGCATCACTACAGACATCACAATTTTGACCAATAGACCAGATAACACTACGGAACAAAAAATACATATTTCATAACTCCAGCATGAAAGTAGGATTCAATTCAACACATGTTCTAACGTACTAGCCAGCGAACCTTGTGGCAGCTATTTGGGGACACGTGGTAAGGGATTAGTAACAAGAAACCGCCTCGCTACAGGAGGGAGTGAAGAGTTTTTCTAAAAAGCCATCCCGCAGCAAATGAAAACACGAGGCTTTGGGGCCCACCAGTCTTAAGGAACGGAGACCCAAATCTCATGGCAACCAAAAGGTGCTGCGGGGCGGCGTAGTAGGTAACGTGAGCCTCGAGTATTTAAGGGAGTGCACAGAGCCAGTGGGAGGGTTCTGGAGACAGTGGGAGAACCTCATGCAGTTGCACAAAACTTGGCGCCATGACGGTGCAGGGCTCGCGAGGCAAGTCACGTGTTGACGAGCCGGTGGAAGACTTTGTGTCCTTGGGTGACTGCGGTCACGTGGGAGCGATGCTGTGTGTGCTCCGAGGTGAGGAGTGGTTGAGTGCCACGACTCGCGGCCGATTCTCAATCGGGTAAGATCGCTCCTGCGATCAAGGCAAACCATCAGTTGGTACGCCGGTACGGACTTTGTGTCTCAGTGTGACATCCGGTCACGGAAGCTTGGCTTTGTGCGCGCTTGCCACAATTGAAACCGATCATCAATCGGATTGGGATCGCTCCCGCGATCAGGGGATAGCAGGTCTATCAGAGCTAGGGCGTAAAGTGTAAATTCATTGTAAATATGTTGTTTTCCTTGTAAATAAATATTTGTTATATGAAAGATCTGCGTCTGTGTTCGCTGAGTATCCATGACGTCACAATGTGGCGAATTTCATTTTATAAAACCCACAGAACTGTAATGTATTGTCTTTCAGGTACACGCAAACCAGATATGACCTTCCCGCACACTGCGGGATCAGTTCCGCATGACACCGGTTGCCTCAGAATCTGTCACCCCAATAATTGGATATTTGCGATAAAGTGGCTAAAATTATTACTTTCAGTTACTGATGAGCAATAGGAAATATGAGGGTATACGTGACCTGTTTTCAAAACATCCACCAAGACCAGTAAAACCTAGTCGTCATTGAGCGCGACTACCACACGCGAGAATGAAGGCGGCAATCTTCGAATACAAAAGGTAAAAAAACACGAAACTCTAATTTTGTTGATATCTCGTGAAAGTGGCATAGATGAACTGAACAAATAGTTCATTTTTAGATAGATTTTATGCGTATTGATTCTAAATTCTTACGGGTGCAATTTAAATATATTTACATCAATAGCAAAATACGGTATGATACGATATAAAGATACGGCATATTTAAAAGCTGTGACGTGATATGACGTTTCTATTGTGATATTCGTAATCTACTTATAAAATTGAGTATGTTGCGCACTCTACCTTCCTGGAGGTAGTGTTCCCTAGTGTAATTAACAAGCTCAAGAAAACAGCCATGTTTATCGATTTTGCAGTCGTTAACAATTACAATATATACTCGGCTTATAATTTGAAAATTGAGAACATACCGCTGGCGCATGAGCTGTCAATTTATACTTTCAAACATTGACATATCACCACCATATGACATTTGTTCACCACAGGATTAATACCAAAAGCACAACGTATGCATGCCAAGTGTTGGAATTACAATTTTCGGATGTGGTTCAATTTGGGGTAGCAATAGGAAACTATTGTATTGTCCCCAGTAGTTTTTATAATTCAAACGCTTCTGAAACGTGTTGATGTCTGCATGTTTTTCTAAGTACTTACTTTCAAAACGCTTCTTGAGAGACAAGTGACTTATCCTGTAGATTGAAATACCGAGTATATTTAAGGTCTTTACCAACGTGTCATGTCTAAATATGCCGTACGTTGTTCGTCTTTTAAGTGTTAATTTAACTGTACGCATAAGCCTCGGAACTCCCAGGAAAAAAGGTGTTCCAGTGAACGACGACCCTCCACGAATTTCTGAAGTTATCAGAGCTATTCGTCGCGATTTAACACTACGAACACCTGCTGAAAGTTGTATGATTAAATGAAGAACTGAAGGCCCCAAACAAAGAAGAATTTAAAAAAATGAAAATGTGCACTCTCTACACTTAAAAAAAGATACCGAACAGGGCAGCCAGAAAACATTCAGAAAAGATTAACCAAGTTCACAAAATAAAACTAAGGATATACCGTAAATTGTTAGAATCTGATAATTGGATTACGGAATGTACCAATGTTTTGACAAAAAAATTCTGTGAGTTCTTGACACAAAAAAATGGATATTTCTTGCTTCTATATGTAGTAAATTAGTTGTAAGAATCCACGTTTTCAAGGTCCGCCGCAAAATAATTTTTTCTTAAAAAGACAAAAGGAATCCAAGGTATAACGTATATACAAGTGTATTTCCTGACACGCACGTGAACTTTTAGCCGATAGAAATGCAGAACCGGGGAGCTTGTTTCTTCTTATCCCAACGGAACAGGATACGTTCGCCTTAGGTATAGGACAAAAATCGCATTTGAATGAAATCAAATAACATTTAGTTAATACAAACATTAAACTTCAGAATGTGAATTAGTAGCTCCACAACAGCACATACTTTCTCGTATTATTTGTAACTTTGGCAATTTTCGAAAATCCAAAGAGATCAACGAAATTCAGACCTGCGCAATTTGTGTCATTTACTCTGCCTTAGGAAACAATGAGTCAAAAATTCGAAGATATGTTTGAGAAAACTTTGAAAATGTTAAGAGTTAACGTAAAGTGCTCCCCAAAATCAAAATGTCAAATTTGCAGCGCCTTGAGTTCGGCCAAATCGATTACGGAATGTCAATTTTGGAGAAAATCGACTTTTCGGTTTCGGCGCAAGTGATGACCGGAGACGAACAAATACACGCTTTCGCCGTCGATCAATTTTTCGGTATCAAAGACATACAACATGTGGATTCTGATTAACGTGTTCGAGGATGTAATTTACTTCATAAACGAACGAAATATATCCACTTTTTCGATGTCACGACTCCAAGATACAAATTCTTCCTAAAAATCGCCACTTTCCGCTGCAGCATTAGAATACTCTCTCTTTACTACGTAAGCACTTAGGCGATGAAGTAAAAATGATTACAAATAATCATTCTTCAGATACTGTAGGTATCTTATTTTTAGAACGTTCTACCCTCCCCTAAATTAATAATTTTCATTCAATCGAGCATTATTTCATTTATGTCATTCTAAACGTTTTATTCATAGTAACGAGTAATTTGCTTCCATGGACAGAGAAATATTGTTTCGCAGAGTAAATATCGCAGAGCAGGTGTGTTTTGGGCAGTGAAGCACCCAAGGGGGGCCGAGGATCATGAGGCTTCAGCTACCTTCACAAGCCAAATATAGATATTAAAAAATCGCTTTTACTAACTTTCTTTACTAACGAAGTCGTTCAATATATCAATTGTACACTCTATAAATATTAATATAAGAGAAATAAATAGTTATGTATGCACCAAGGGCGCTCTAATAACCGAGTGGCGACAAAAAGCCCAAGGGCCCTTAACCCGCGGGCTTTTTCTCACCCGAGATTATTAGAGCCAGTTAACGCCACTGGTACACATCAGATTTTATTTTCATCTAATTTTAATGAGTTCGACTAACATCCGTATTTATTAATTAACTAGAAGTTAACTTCTCCCGGTTTGTCTTGTCATATTTCCCTCTCATAATTCTCTCCATTAGAGAACATGTGGCATCATTCAACGTTTTCATATTTCCCTCGCAACTACAATCCTCTCGATCCAGGTAAGTTAAGCAGGTACATCGAGCTCCGCATCGAGGGTAATAACAAGCTATAACGTATCAGTAAAATATTTAACACTAAATTATATTCACCATAAACAAAAATCTTCGTAAGAAAACAAGTTTGCTAGTCACTATACAGATCCCCCCCCCCCGCCGGCGAGAAAATCCAACGAGCGCCTCTGATCTTAAAGAAGGTTTTTCAAAATTTCTGAGGCATAAATGCATTTTGCAGGTCATTTAATGAAGTTTTTAGGCTATCAAATCCTAGACCTACACATTACATGCAATTTAAAAAAATATGACAAAAGTAAGTACTTACTTTTCCAGTTCCTCCTCAGAATGAGCAAATGTACAATTGGTCCCACGGGGACAACTACCCCTCAATGTGTGGTCTCTACACATGCTGATTTTGTATTTTGTATTATGTGGATGACCAGGCTCTTGAAGTTTTCGGCTTCCATGGTGTTGAATAAAATCAACAAGTCCCATAACAACAATTTTCACCGCTTCCAAAGCTGCACAACCCTCACACCATGAAGGAGAACTGGACTCTACAAATAAAAATGATACAATTTTATTAGTGCTTAACAATGAAAGCAGTGTTGGCAGACAGAAATATCAACTACCAGAGATGCAATTATTTTTGTGGAATTGTATAACTTGAACGTTCAGTATGAACCTGCTGTCGCCAGCAGAGTTGCTTTATTACGCTCCATGTAGTCACGGAGATTAAGCAACTCGAGACACAATGAGTTCCTGGATGTGTGAAAGTCTGGGATTCCCGGAGATCTACCGGCGCCGAGCCTCTGGTCGAAGAGAGAGAAGGCAACGACTGACGACTGGCCAGATTACCCGAGGATTACTCTATTTTTGACACCAGAACGTAGTTACAGAACGTTGTTGGGTCATTCCATCCAAAATTTTAGGAGTGGTAGGGTTTTTTGAGGGTTAGGTTATTCTATGTTTTTCAAATTTCAGTATTTGATTACCATAGTAATAAGTGGTTAGTTACATGGCAAATTTTAAGACTCATATCTTAAAAGGATTGGCTACGAGACAAATATTCAGGTGCCTAAAAACAGTAATCGGCACTGTGATATGAAAGTTTGTGAAATTCCATCAGGCTAGGACATCGGAATCTGTGTAAGGGTCTCCCAGAACAGAAAAATAAAAGTGTGATAACAAAGAGAATAGAAATGAAGGGAAATTATTTAACAGTACGAGTCATTCTAACCTATTATTTCCCCTGGTAGCGGGTTTCTCGCGTAGAAACAAATAATATATCAAGAAAAAGACACTATGAACAACAAAAAAACTGAATGAATCATTGAATAAAGCGAAATCAACAACATAGGGATTGCTACTGGAACTCAATTCAGTAGTTCCAGTTAAGGAATTGGAATGGTCAAGTGACTATGCAAGCTCATACGGACCGATAACTAAGTTGGTGACTGACAGTTGTGTGTGGCGTAATGAAGCCACTCCCGATTCAATGGAAGCTGCCAATCAGAGGGAAACTGTGTGAAGTCAGAGGTCGCTGAGTTGCCACTGACGAACTGGAAACATAGCATCGTGCAACGAATCTTTCCTCCAACCGCCCGCGTTTCTACTTTTGCTGCAAGCGCATTCTGGAGTGTTGAGGTTAGGCGTTTGTCGTGCGAGTTTTGTACGTGCGTTTTGTTGAAGATATTTTTTGTGATCGTCCACTTTTACTTAATTGTCAGTTAATGTATTTTGTAATTATTTGTTCCTTTTTATTTGTTTTAATTTATAGTACCACTGATTTGACAATGTTCGAATCACAACGAACGAGGTGGCCGCCCGAGAAAACCTCCCGAAATATCTAGGAAATCATCTGAAAAGGGTGTAGTACTACACAGACAAGCTCGTGTTGCCAAGCAAGTGTCGTGAGTATTTTGAAAGAGAGAATGTCGGTCCATTGATTCCGGTTTCGAAAGTGGCGGTCAACTGCCGTACTGAAAATCGGCAAGAATATGGCCGTCAGAATTGGCAAGCAGAAATTTGAAGCAGATGAGGTAGGATCATATAGACCCAAGTAAAAGATTGTGTTACGAAACAAACATTTACTTTAACTGAAGTGAAAATGTAGTACCAACAGCGTCAGAATGGCGAAATGTTGAACATACCAAGAAAGTAATTACAGATTTTTGGGAGAAGCAAATCTTGGGATTCTTGGAATAGAAAACGACGCTGAAGAGCTTATTATTAATCTAGAGAGTTAATGTAGCTCGAGTGGTAGTCCTACAGACATAACATACAATGAAAGTGTTAGTGACTCAAACCTGAGCGGTGTAGTTCCTATCGCCATATAAATTAGTTATAATGTAGTGTAGGACGTAATATTTATTGAAGTTACTGAACAAAATAATATGTAGTGGCTCCAGAACAAGCTGCTGTACTTCATACAATGTGAGTATATGATTTGGTTACTTTTATAAGTATTAATTTTCGTGACCCGGGAACACGTGCTCAGCGACACGTAACCTGGCAACGTCGCTCCCCTCCACGCACCACTTTCCTGCCGTATTTCTACCATGTTTCCTACCACGCAACGTACTTCATTTAAACGGACTCTAGCGAGCCCCTACACATATCTAGAGTGTTAAGTAAAAGAAGAATAAGTCCAAAAATAGTCAAAATGGGATAAGTCCACCAGCTAATAGAGATAAAAACCCTCTTTGTTTCGTACTAAAATGTATAAGTCATCTCTGAATAATTGTAAAAATTTATGTATAATACTAATGAAATTATGAAATTTACGATTGGTCCAGAGCGAACATGTTAACTTATCGTACCTGTAACATAGACTCAAATTGGTACATTTAGACAAAATAATACATGTCGAATTATATTATTACGACTATCTCTTGCGTTTTTTATCCAAGATAGTATCAGTAATAGCAGATTTGTATGAAGAATTATCATCAGAACTAGATGAGGAACAACTAGAAAACACAAATGTTGTAGCTATATTATTAATTAATCACTCTGATAAAGATGTAAATTTTGCAATGCCAAGGAACTCATCAACTAACATAGAAGGTGATTTTCAGCTACCTAAACCGTTGAGTTCAGATAATACAGACTTTATTGCTGAAAATGAGAATTACGTTGAAAATTATGACTCTCACAATCTAGATATTGTATGTACTTTCCAGAAACTGATAGTAGCATTCGTAGTAATAATAATAGCAAAAGGTGTCTATCAACTCAGGATCAAAAACTGTCAAAAAAGAGTCTTGGTGATGATAAAAATGAAGTAAATGCTGATGTAATTCGGGTCAAGAACAGTTCTGAAGGCCTTAGGAAAATTAGTATTGTGAATGAAAATTCAACATACACAAAGAAATAACATGTAGTGCCCGAGGTAAAGAGGTTTATTGCAGGGAAAAAAGAATGAAACAAACATTATTCACGTGCAAAGAATACACTATTGACAAAGGAAAGGTAGTTGTAGCAAGATTGAAGTTGAAGCAAAAGACATGAAATTATGTAGAGTGAAATGTAAAGAAAATCTGGAAGAATGATATGAAGGCAAAACAATAAAAATATATTTGATAAATTTTATTGAAATAAAATTTGAAGAGAATTGGAGCTTAGGCTATAAAGATCAGAGAGATTCATTTGTATCTGTTTTGGTTGATTCTAGAAAGCCAAAAACATCTAGTAAAAAATCTGAAGACCCTGAAGCACACAAAATCAGAAATGTATCCATTTTTTAATTTTAAAATAAGAGGAGACCATACACAGGTTTGCAGGAAGTGTTTGTTTTACTGACACTTTTGGTGAAACAAACATGTTTATCACCAAAGATACAAAACAAAAGTCAGAGTGTACCAGGTGTAATGATAAATGATAAAAGAGGCAGAAAAATACCCACATATAAAATAAGTGATAATAAGTTACAAGAAGTAAGAAATTGCATAAATTAATTTTCTTTGTACTAATCACACTTCATGAACCAAGAGCGAGAAGAAGTATTTACGATCTCATTAAAATCTACAGATCTTACATCAATCACACAATCTACAGTTGAAATCCTGTATCAACAAGATTTATGAACAAGAATATCATAAAATGAATATTTTCTTTCAGAAACTGAAGATTGACACTTGCCACAAGTGTGACATTCTACACATTCCAAGCAGATTTGCTTCTGATGATAGGATTCAAGCAACTGATGAAACTAAAGTGCATCATAAAGAGGCTGAGCAAGGTTATTTAAGTAAAGCTACGGATAAAGAAAAGGGTAAAGTAGATTAAAGCTTTAGATGCTATTGCTTTGATTTACAGTGCCTGCATTGACAACAGTGCCTGCCAACTCCATGTCTCAATACTTCTGAAGCATTTAACAAGCCCCAACTTTTGACTTACAATTAAACAATGCATGAAGCGAGCCCAAAATATGTCAAATGCTACATGTGGCATGAAGAAGGTGCATGTGGAGGAAATCAAATAGCTGCATGTATTTATAAAGAACTGGCCTCTCTATCACCAGAAGTCAAACATGTTTTATATTCTGACACCTACAGGGGTCAGAATAAAAATTCCCACGTAGCTAGTAGTTTTTTGAAAATCATGTAAGATGTTTACCCTGAAATTCTAGATAAGTTCATGGTTAGTGGGCACAGTCACCAGGAATGTGACATTGACATTGGGCTTACAGAGAAACAAAAGAGGCTTCAATATATCATCCCCATGATTGCTATGAACTGGTATATTCTGTAGGGAAGAAAAAGTGTTTCCAAGTTATAGAACTTCACCATTCCGATTTCGCTGGATTACTCAAGAATAGTCAAGTTACACAAGGAAGACACAAATGGTGATCCATTCAGTCCGCTATGTGCAAAGTGGTTCAGATACATAAAAGAGTCCATTTTAAGAATAGAGCTGTTAGGTTTCTCCCTTGCTCTCTACCTGTTGGATACAGTCAACTACTGTAATATAATTTTTTTTTTAAGTCACAAAATTTAGTGTGGCTGTTCCATTTGTGAAATTAAAACCAACAGTGTTAACTATACATGCAAAATGCCCCAATCAGGGCGGTGTATCTCAAGTTTTTTTGATTTTCTATCAGATTTTTCTTACTGCATCTCTCTACTGGCCAATCAATCATAAAAGTGACTCATCTATCTTAGGAGTAGGCATACATCAATAAATAACGTATGCCTACTCCTAAACAGTTCAATAAACAGCATGTGTACTATAACCTAACCTCTTTGTTTTTAACATAGCTTTCAGTTATTTTCCAAATTCGGCGCATTTTGGAACTTTGAAGAACATAATTTCACTCTAGAATAGTGCAATTAAATCCCACTAGTGCATTGGAAATTCTTCGATAAATCCCCTCTTCGCTTCGGCGAGTCGGGAATTCATCGACAATTTCCAAAGCACTTGTATTACTTATGATTATGTGTTTGTGAATTGGAATGTTGTTCGGAATAATGAATGCATTGATGAACCTGATGATAGTGCCACAATGAGCTCCGAAACGTTGTGAACGAAGTGATGTAATTAGTAACAATAAGTAGTGGTGCGCCCGTACTCTCGCAAAATTACGCGAAACGTTCTGAAATTTTCAAAAAAATTGTACATGACTTTATTTCAAAATCTACCTTTAAGGAACAGATTTCATTAAGGGAAAAATATCTACCTTTAGAATTGTAGTTGTAGGGAAATGCCCAAACAAGTATGAAATTTCGAAAAATCAGAGGTTTTAGCGAAATGAGACCTGCACCTTTTTCTTAAATGCCCTTCACACTATCCAACAACAGAATTTAAACGCCCTTCACACTATCCAACAACAGAATTTAAACGCCCTTCACACTATCCAACATCAGAATTTAATCAAAATAGATGGAGCCATTTTTTTGAAAATGTTCCAGGTGTTTCATGTAAAGTACCCGCCAAATTAAAATATCGGTTTCAAATTCAAGAGGCCGCAACATCTGCCAGATCGTTGGGAGAATATCAATTTTGGAGAAAATCGGCTGAACGGTTTACCTGTGAGCGTTGCCGACGGACGGTCAGACGTTTTGCCACCATTCGATTTTACAGTACCAAGGACACACAAAACATGGATTCTGGCTACACCACGTGTTAGAAGATTTTTTATCAACTCTATTTATCCACTTTTTCGTAACCAGGGCCCTGTTTTCTGCCGAAAATTCGCTGTTTTTCGCGCAGCTTTATACAACTATCTATTTCGAAAGCGGTAGCGAGAAAGAAAAAATTCATGTCCAAAATTATCGAGGTGTATAAAAGAAAATAACAAATGCAATAGAGACAGTCTTATAAAAAACTAAAGTAGTGATGTCACATTAAATAGTTTTGTTTTCCGTACCGAAACGAATGTTAAAAGAAATGGGTCGAAGTTGTTCCCCAGAAAATGAGAGAATTAAATGACAATGATATTTGCGACCAGTATTTCAACAATATCTTACACCGTGTATTTGTCTATGTACTAGACTGACAATGGATGACCCTTGGAAGCCGGTCGATTGCGCCCGGCGCCATATTGTGTCAGTTTCGCTCCAAGGCATATAATGCTATATGTCAATGATCCCCAAGAAATCTATAAACCCACGTTTTTAATAAATTGCTATTAAGAAAAATGAAATATTAAATGTAAAATAATATTCAGGATATAAGATAATTGAAGTCAAAATTAAATTTAAATCTTACATGTATAAAATACAAAAGTAAAGGCAAGGGATCATCTTATCATCAGCTCTACGGACCAAGGGAAAGTTATTCCTTGATGCCTGTTATTTGAAATAAAGAAGTCCAGCCATCCTATCAAAGTCACCGCCTATTTTAAAAATAAATACTACTAAAAAAAAGGAAACCGTCAGTCCAGTTTTAATGAGGGTTGAAAATGAAACTATTATCACTAAAACACGTCTTTTAATGATATTTAATTTTGAATATCAAAGTCACCCCAAAAAATGGGTTTTTTTAAATGTTTTACAGAAGTGAAATTTGTCATTTGTATCATTTTGTTACATATAGTATTCTTCAACATCCATGTATCTGCTACAACTCTCAAAAGTGCAATTTTGAAACCAGAAGATGAAGTTTTTTTCAAAAACAAATGTAAAGGTTATCGAAATCAGCCCAATCTATGGTACATTTTTAACATCTAATTTTATATTACAATTTAATTCATTTTCACTCTTTAGACTTTGTTGTGGTTTTTACTTTTCTTGTGATTACTTTTATTTAGTGTTTCTTTCTTGCAATATGGGTACAGTGAACAAAATTTTTAAACACAACACAAATTGCTTTCCCTATTCATCTACAATCATTAGTGCATGAATTTAACAGTCCTTTCAGCACAGTCATTTATAGTTTTCAACTTAATAAATAACCCTTGAGCATCTAAATATTAAGAGTAGCTTGTCCAGGTGGACAGAGATTTTTGAATATAACTAGTATCCATCTTCGGGCATGAGAACAGATATTTGTTTTTGGATGACACAAAGTTCGCATTTGTTTTCAATGAAATGACGGTTGAATTGAATTAGGAGATGCATATTAACGAATTAATAATTAAAGAAACGTCATCGGGATACAATTGTGCTTACCATATTATTCTCTATCCAATTCTTCACCAAAAGGAATGCATCACTCTTCAATGAGTATATTCTATCTGGCTAATTTTGCCACCATTTTAATTTTGTGTGTGATACAAAAGACAATTCTTCTAATAAATACTACATATGATGTCTACAATTTGCTGGAGCTGCTTCTGAAACTGTGGAATCTGTCCTTTCATATGATTTTAGAATTTTTTAAAAGCAGATATCTTGATAAGGAGCTTTTACAGCTACACTGCACTGAAGCCATGTTTGACATAAACAGTTACAATCAACAGATTTTTTTTTTAAGTATTATGTCATGAATTTTATATTCAAACACACATTGTACAATTTTCTCAAGAAAGTCACATGCTGCTTTAAAATGTCAAGTGTTTGATAGCCCAGTGCGTGAACACATTTCAAACAGTGTTAGTGTGCACTTTACCAGAAGAATTCCGCAATTTTAGTGACCCGATGAGCTGTTGACTGTCCTAAATGTAACAATTGGAAGTCTTTCTTCTTTCAGACCCCTGATATTTAATGCAGGCAACAGTTTACCATCCCATTGAACAGTAAGAATTTCAGATAAATTACTCTTAAAAGCTGATTTATTTGTTTCTTAATGTTCTCTTCACTTCTTGCATCTGATTCACGGAATAGAAAATTTATTAATTCAGAGTTCTTCAGATATTGTGGCCATGTGTGTCTGCTATCACCTGAAGGACGCATACAGAATATCTTACATTCCGTTGATACCTATCTAAACCATTAGTTTAGGAGTAATGCAATTTTTGGTGCCGCATATTGCAGCATTCTGCGTTGATGTACTCTCAAAAGTCTCTCCTAAAAATTCACTAACATTGATTTCATCTAAACTTGGAAGTTCATTATCTGAATCTTCAGATGATGAAGAAAATACAGCAGAAGATATAGATGCTTCACAATGTTTCTCATTCCTTTTCTCTTCTTGTAAGGTTTTTGGTCTTGGCTTTTCTTCTTTATTCGCAAGATTTTGGTGTACTCCTGCAAGATGGCTTTTACATCCTGTCTCTCTCGACTGAAATAAAAACATCCCGACTTCTTTCAACGTAATTATTTGTAAAGCTTCGGAAGTGCAATATCAAATAGACTGTTCAAATTATTTCTTAACACCTCTTCACAATGCTTAAAAATAGCTTCAAACATGTTGGTGTGTGTGTGTTTTTTCTTCTTTCTTTTTTTTCTTCTTTCTTTCTTTTCTTCTCTTTTTCTTTTTTGTTGTAATTTTCTCCACTAAGAATACCAGTTAATAAATTTTTGCAGAAAAATGTTGATTAGCTTGTCGGAATTCTTACTTTCTTCCAAAATATTATGCACTCCTGAACCACAAGATTAGCACTCTCACTAATTGTTCATTTCAGGCCTGACTCAGCAAGGAGTGGTAAGTCTGGACATGTCCGTCATGCAAGTTCATGCTCAAATCGGCACGGGTTAGAATGCTCTTATCTCAACAATATTTCTACAGGCCTGTTTTATGATTATTCCAACAAAATTGGAGGGTGAGCATTTAAAAATTTCAAAGTCGGAAAATAAGGGACACCCTATTGTACATGTTTTTTCCATCCTGCAGAAAGATTGCCTATCTTAATTAATAGATGAATTGATACTTTTCAACCAATTAATCAGTTAATCAACATTCTTTATTTTTTCAATTATAATTAATCAACTACAACTGAAAGAATTTTGCCATCACTACTATATAAAAATGTATAGTTACGTATGTTACTAATTTCCACCTGTCTAGGGAATACAAGATCTCGATGTTGGTGTTCGAGTTAGAGGACCCCTGTGATCTTGGGAGCATAGTTACTTATGCAGCCTCCCTTGCCTGACAGGTCGAAGAGGTTAGGACAGACGAAAAAGTACTTCAGGAGAGGCCCTAACTATCATGAGAGGATCCACAGAAGGGAACCTGAACGACAGTTATCATGAAGAAATTCTTTGTCATGGAGTAGAAAACCTCAAAAAATGCCCTGTATCTTGAGGTTTACTGAGATCCCATGCACAGGGATGTGTGTGAAGACTTCGGCTGTCAGGGTGGCAGCGATGAAGGTGGTGTGAAGAGAAGGGAGAAGAAACCCACTTTGTGAGGTTAGTATATGAAAATACTTGTCTCCACGCTCTAAGGTGGCAGCCCCGCCGTGGGACTCTCTGCGCATCGATAGCAATGAGATCAGAGGACTATACCAATCTGAAGCTTCATGAACACTGAAATGGAAAGCTTTGCCTTAATTGCTCTACAAATGCATGCCATGCAGATGTAACAGAGCAAAAAGTTTGGGAACATATTCCATATTCATTTATTCACACTTAACAAAACAATGTGAGGTGTTATTATACACAAAGGCTAATCAGGTGATGTGCTAGCTTTTTATTCCCAAATGATGCAGTTTCACGACCAGTTGTGACTTTGTAAACATTAGAGCATAATTATAATACAAGCACAATACTAATTGAAAATCCTATCAACGCAAGAAGAAAATGTGAAGTTTCTGCTTGCATTTTGAATATTGGTGCATTTGTTTGTATGACTAACATACAAAATTGGCCAACTTTTAAAAATATATTTACCTGGACTTGGATCAATTGATGCTAGGAGTTCCAAATGCTGGCGCAGGACAGAAAGATTCCCTGGATCACCAGTTCGCTGTAATGCAATTACTAACTCTTGAACTGACTGAGCAAATGATTGAGGTGTCTGAAGTTTGTCAATAATGCTCTGCATATGAGATTTATGAGCTGTGTCACCATAGAGAAGTGCAGACCACTGATCAGGTGCAATACGCAAGCCTGCTTCAGTAGCTATCTGCACAATCTGTGCATCATGTTCGCGACGTAAAGCTTCATAAGTACGAAATTCTTCTTTTAACTGCATTAATGAAGAATCTCCTTCTCTTTTTGACACCTGGAATTAGAAAATATTTATTTATTAATTTACAGGTAAGAGGTATAGTTATTATGCCTGAATTGGTATAAATATGTGTAGCATATGTAAATAATTAATTACAATTGCAATCAAGATACACAATACATAGTCACATAAATTTTTTTTTAAAAAAAGAGCAGAAAAGTGTTAAATGATTTATTGACTACCCTTCAACAGTCATTTCAAAATCATACAATATTTCTTTCACAAATTAATTATTAAATTAAATGCTAAAAATATTTTTCATACATTAAGAATCTTCCAAAATGTTATATATCAAGGTGGCCATTATTTTTGCAAGATTTTCTCCAATCTCCCCCCCTGGGTTGATTTAAAATGAATTTTTTTAAATATAAACTTTATTTTCCACGCAATTTTTTTTAAAAATTTGGCAGTTGCATATATTTAGAAAACGTTTTTTAAATAAATAAAAGTGTGACCAATAATGTATAATCAATTATTGTGTTCTCTGAAATAAGATCAGATGGCATTGCTTGGTGGGAATATGTGAAGTGTTTCAGTTTAAGCAGTTACATTAATGAACGTTGGTGTGTTAAAGTGATATCTTTTACTTCTAATGGTGTTTTCAAAGAACTTTGTTATGTAGTATACAATTTTGTAATGTTGTTATGATAGTAGATGTAGTTAGCGTTTAGTTATGATTATGAGAGTTCATGAATATTTTCTAGCCATTGGGGCAATGTAGTAACAGGTTTTTGATCTCCAAAAAGAACATTGAACAACCCTTGCTGCACATTCAAGGAGATCTGTCAGACGATAAGCCACATTCATGGGAACTTCCATAGTTAAGCAAAATGGGTGGCAGAGGAAAAAACATCAAATTGCAAAAATACTATTAATGAAGGGAAAGAAAGCACAGTGTGCAACATAATCTCATGTTATATCAATGAAGATAGGGTTAAACTGTATCCTGGAGGAGGACACCCAAAGACATTGTCTTTTCAAGATGAGAATCACATTGAGAGAATGCTCATAGTAGAGTATCCGAGAAGTAGGAACCTCTTATTGTAAAAAAAAAAAAATTACTGCACATTTAGAAATTGAAAGTGGCAAGAAAGTAAGTCCCAAAACCGTGCAAAGGGTACTAAGGAGGTAAAATTTCAATAGCCATGTTGCCAGAAGAAAGTCATTTATACCTAAGTGAATCAAAGGAAAAGGCAAAGAGTTTGCTAAAGAACATTCAGAAAAAGATGAAGATTGGCGGACTAGAGTAATCATTGCTGTCGAATCAAAATTTAACATCTGTGGTTCCGATGGAAGAATTCACGTGTGGAGGAGACCAAATGAGGAGCTGAAAGAAGAAAACATGCAATTGATCATGCAGCACGGAGGTGGCTGATATAATGGTGTGGGGCTACATGTCAGCCAATGGTGACAGTGAACTTGGGTACATAAAGCAAATGATGAACAGGTTTAACCATCTTGGCATTCTTAAACAAAATTTAAAACAAAGAACTGAAAATCTTGGTATTCTTGGTAGATTTTATTCTTATCAAGATAATGACCCCAAGCACAAGTTACAGGGTGTTCAACTTTGACTGGTGTACAACTGCCCCGTGGTACTTCATCCACCCCTTCAGTCTCCTTCATTTCATGGATTAGGCAGGGCTGTCTGTTCCAGAAACCATCTTCTCGACTGATACTCTTTCGGCCAGCTGGTTTGCGGTCTCTTGCAAATCGAGGAATTCTGCTTCTGTTCATTCACTCCAGATGACTGCACCAGTTCATTTTAGTGTCACTCTTCTTCTTCTCAAGACTAAATATCTGACGTGTTTCTCTGTTTGGACATTATTTACAGTGCATATCTGTTTCCATTAAAGTGTCCATCAGTTTTGTGCGGTAACTTTTTAGCTTTAAAAATGAAAATTTTAAAATATTAGTTGCTTAATGTGATTTTAATAAAACTTTTGTACATACATTATAACTTCTTATGAAAGTCATCTTATAATATACTTCATTACATTTATTTTCTTCTTTTAATATTCCTAATCCATAAATACTCTGTTAAATTTCCTTGTCTGAATAGTTTTGTTAGTCATTGTAGATAGATAGAGCAAGGTGTCCGGTTATTGATAGATGAGGTTACTATAATAATAAAAATTATGCATTTTCTATATTTTAGGAAGAATTATATATTAGTAAAAATCTGCAGATATTTGAGTGGTTATAGTAAAAAAGCATTTGGGAAATAGCCATGAAACAGTGACTAACCTGCAAAGCATTTACAAATATTAGTGCATCAAATTCAGAGTTCGCCACTGCTCATCTCGCTCTTTGCCATGTGTCTTTGCACAGTGATAAGCACTTCAGTCATCCCTGTATGTGAAAAACGCTACTTTATGAAGTTGTGAATAAAACAGTACATTGTTTTTGTGTTGGACTTTATTCTAGAGTGCTTTTACTGGGATTTTTAATGTTGAAACAAAAACTATTTGGTTTCCATAGATCTGAAGAGAAGTTTTTAATTACTGAAACTGTTTGCTTTTGATCGTGGAATAAATAATTTTTCTGAGAATTTTTTTGCGAACTTGCATAGAAACTTTTTGACTGGTATTTTAAAAGAATGAACAGATTGGTTTTAATAGAATTGCAATATTTGAAGTCAAATCCTCATGAAAATTTGTTAAAATGTTCTTCATTATCTATATAAATGATATCGTTGAAGCTTTTAAAAACTCTTCATTTAATCTTTTCGCTGATGATTGCAAAATTTGGCGTAAAATATCTGATGTTAATGATGCTAGTTTACTTCAAGACAACCTAAATCGAATGATATCATGGTGTAACGAAAACAAACTTGAACTAAATATAAACAAATGTAACTACTTCGTTGTAATCATGGCCATACTGAAGTAACAGTAGATTATAGTATTCAAAATACAATAATTGAATCTGTTCCACACATTAAAGATCTGGGAGTAATCATGGATACCAAAATGTCTTTTAATAAACACATTGATTACATCGTCAACGCTTCACTGAAAAAACTTGGATTTATTAAAAGACAAACTGGTAAATTTAAATCAATGAAAACGATTAAAACTCTTTATAATTCCCTTGTCAAATCAAAATTGATGTATTGTTCTTCAGTCTGGTCACCAAATGCTGAATATCTTAGCAAAAAGATAGAACGAGTTCAACATTTATTCTTCTCATATGTAGCTTTCAAATTAAAAAAACCTAATCCGAGGTATAATCATGACTGCGGTGAAATATCTAGCTATTTGCAAATACCAACTTTGTCATCCTCGAGAATAGTACATGACGTGTTATTTATGAATAAATTATTGACTGGAAAAATTGAAAGTACATCACTTTGACATATGTATCAATTGTATGACTATCCATACACAATGCGAAGATCTACTCTACTGAGAGAATTTGACTGTAGAACCGACTATTTCTATAATTCTGCTATACCACGTTTAGCCAGAATCACCAATACATATATGAATGAAATTGATTTGACTCGAAATACGTCAATAGCTAAAATGATCAAACAACTCATATATTCGATTTCACTGGATAGATATGCAACAATTGACAATACTTATTTTATGACAAACGAATATTTTGTAATCTTCAAGAGCGTATAAACCTATGTATATATGAAATGTATTTAGGCATTATATGCCTGTTGGTTAATAAAAAAAAAAAAAAAAAAAAAAAAAAAAAAAAAAAAAAAAAAAAAAAAAAAGTTTGGAAGAAAAAAAGGGTGACTGCATATTTAAGGAAATTTTCTGTTTAACTAAATTATTATGCACGTTACTAGCTCCAGCAGCATTCGAGGAGAGGTTGTTTTCTGCTTTAAAAATAATAATAATTGTAAAAGTTAAATACAAGGAGTGCAAAGCTTGTCCCTTATATTGATTGAATAAGAACTTCGAAGGAGAGAAAGAGGATTTCTACGACTGTCATTTAATAATTTGCCACAACAGTATGGCTTGAATCTCTACATATTTCATAATGTAAGATGTTAACTTGAATTTACACGTCTGTCTTATACATTCATGAATGGCAATGCATGGTGACATGACACTCTGCAAAAGTCACGCATTATTTTAGAACAAAAACAATATCTATTTTTTATGAATTTAAATATTTTAGAATTAAATGTATATGCATATCAAGCTCATTGAATGTTTAGCATTGTCTATCTTTACTTGATAATTTTTTTTGCGTTGTTTGCATTTGAAAGTTCAGTAACATCTAGTCTATTCAAATCTGACAGAATCATTGCAAAGGGCTCTGATGCACCAGAGATAAGCTCTCAGCTCTGATTAGCAGATGCGCAATGAGACCGTAAATCCATCTTCAGTACATGTGAGTTGAATAAGCAACTCCCCTTCATGTGTCACTCAACTAGAGTGGCCACTTTTTTGACTCACAGGTGGTGACAGTGTGTAGAATGCTAAAAAGATAGTGACTGCTCAGTCAACTACAAAAAAATTAAACTTATAAGAACACCTTATGTTAAAACTACACCTCTCCCCACACCCTCACCCTGTCACTTCAGAAACACAGACCTGATATCTGGGAAAATCTAGCAATGGCCATTCAAAAATGTCATGCTCACCACTGTTTTTAGTATCTATTGTAATGAGTAATTTCTGTAATCCTATATAGATATAATTATTCATTTCTCTTTGCATATTTTTGTTCTTATAAAACCTGTTATTGGGTGATTGTCCGTTGCTATTGAAAATAATATACATCAGGTGTAAGAAAGATGGAAATTGCTGAGGGCAAGATCTAGACTATAGGCAGATGGTCATATGGTCAGACACACAAGGCTCAGCTCAAAACAGATGTTCTGCAGCAGTTCCACTGGGTGGTGGTTGACAATACACCTTGAGCCCGGATTTTGTCCCCCAGCAGTTTCCATTTTTTCTTACACAACAAGAACTTCCTGTTTGGTCAGCATTATGCGTAGTTGCAGGTAGCTGTTAAACACTTGTACCTAACCAAGGCAGAAGATTTCTATAACACAGTGATATAACTGTGGATCCCATAATATAACAAATGTCTTCATTCCAGTGGGGATTATGTGGAAAAATTGTGCAACATGTACAGAATCTGCAACGGTAAAGAAAGAAGTTTTTCCATGAAATTGTGTTTTCTTTTTGTTGATGATTCTTTCTGGATGTGCCTCACCATATTACGTTTCTTCACAACGAAAAACAAATAATACCCAAAAATCAAGAAATGAAACATTTGTGGTGCATAAAATTTCAAGTGCTAAATGTCATGTGCCACTTTCGGGTAATAACTCCCAACATTTGTCTGTTTTTTCTTTTATTTCATATACAATGGAGAATTAATCAATGAAATTTCAACTTTGCTTAAGTAACAACCACCTTAAAATATACATTATACCACTATTATTACTTAATTTTTTTAGAAGCTCACCTTGAAACATGATGCTCTATACAACAGTTGAACCACATGTCCTATACTTGTTTTCGATGCTTGTGGAAAATGAGGCTCTAATCTTTGCACAACAAACATTACAAGAACTTTTCTAGATAGTGCTGAGCCATCTTCTAAAGCTAATAAAACCAGTTTCAACACTTCTTCTTGCATTGCTGTAAATGTCACATTCACACACATTTATAAATGAGTTAATTTTTTTACAATTTATAAGTACATACAGTGGAGTTCATGAATTACTGTTCTGAACATAGGAAGCTTTGGTTGATAAATAATGCCACTTTATCAAGATTCCAACATTACTTTAAATAGTTTCAAATGTCAGTGCTGTTTTTATTCAGGATTCTTTAATTTTAACATGTAGAGTACAAGCATTAAATTACAAATGTATTAACTCTAAACACTTATTCCATGAAGCATCATCATTACCGAAACAATTTACCTTTATAAAAATTGAATAATAACTGGACTGATGTTATTCAAGTCTGAAAGCAATAACAGTGACTTGTTGTATGCCTAGGAACTCCATAAACAATCGTAATATACAAAATGTAGATTTGTATTATTAATGGTACTCGACTGAAGAATAACAGTTAAGTTCATAATAGAAGCCTGTGGCTTTTTGCATGTCAAACTGGATCTTATGAATATCTCCACTCCAGGTTCCTTGAGTAAATTACTAAAAGTGAACAGGTACCTCTGTGGCAAATTTGAAAATAATTAACACCAAAATGTTTTATGACAGATTAGTGACTGATAAAACCTGTATTCATCACTTTCAAACAGTCAAAATTATAGAATGGCAAGATTCCACAAGCTCACGAAGGCTAAGAGAAAATTCTAGACCACTTCTTCCAGCCAACAAGATCAAAATTTTGAGTTTCTAAATACATTATTCGTATTGAAGATTTACCAAAGATACATACAGGTTACACCGATTCAGAAGCAATAAAGGAAACTAGGTGCTAGAACAGCACATTCTTTTTGTCTTAATGCAAACTTTTGCACTTTTCAAGAACTCCAGAGGGTATAATAAAAATTAGATCTGCATTTTTTAGCATCCTCTACTTTATTCATTGGGGAAAAATTTAAAGAAAAAAATTGTAGCTGTTACACGAAAAATACTATACATTTTTAGAACCAATTTCATTCAAGACAAAAATATCCATCTTTAACATAGTGCCTTTCCACTGATAATTCTTCTGCAATTTTTGAAACTACAGAGTGTTTGCAAAAATAGCACAGCACTTTTTGCACAGTTTTTTCACACATATGGGAAGAAAATGTAAATAAATAATTTGTAGCCTTTTGTTTTTGTTCTCTATTTTATTTTTAAAAATTCCTAGATTTCAACGAAAATGAGACATGCACCATTTTTAAGGGTCATTTACGCTATCCGAGGACAAAGATCAATCAATAAGTGTTGAGACATTTTTGAGAAAATTTTGAAATTGTTGTTGAGGATTCATGGAAAGTCTCCTGAAAAATCAAAATATCTGTTTCAATCTCGCAAGGCCCTGGATATGTTTGAATCAATCACGAAATATTAATTTTGGGGAATATATACTTGAACAGTTTAGGGTTTCAGTTTTCTGAAAAAAACTCAATGGATCCTGGTGCACTATTAAAGTACTTTTTCTATTTACAAAGTAAACTGAGAACGTAAAAAGGCTGGCAAAAGTGAGCCAAATTCACCTGAACAAAGATTAACATCACATGAGTTTCTTCAATAGCTGTCAACCACAAAGCTGATTTGGGAATGCTTGAAGAGCCCCCCTATGCTTCAGATCCAGCAAATTAGTTTCAATTCAAAAACTTGTATAAATTACTTTTTTACAACAATGATATAATCACTACATTGCCTGTAAGAAAAAAAATATTATTTTTCGCAAGGCATTACACAACTTTGTCACATACTGAATGTATTATTCTTTTAGGGGATTATCTTGCATTATTAAAAATAATAATAGTTTAAGAGTATAATAAAATTTCAATTTCAAATTTTACATTTACAATAGTAAAAATGTTTCAAAACTTCCAGTAATTTCATTCTATGTTAGGGGCAGTAATCCACAAACTCCTTTTATACAGTTATTTAATGAGAAGGTTCTTTGATAGGCGAAAGAGTTCCAAACTGATGGAGGATAAGGACGTCATGCATGTATTAATTTATTAACGCCCACTACCCCTATTTGAGAACACGTTTATGATGAACTCAAATTCGCTTCTTTTGGACTAACTTGTGAATTTTATTTAATTATACACACACATCCTAAACGAAATATACAAGCAGGTAACTGAGATCCATAAAGCATTGTATATCCCTCCCCAGTGTGTATTCATCAATCAATCAATGTTCCGTTATTTAACGTGATGAAGTTCAGGCCATCAAACCTCCTCTTCCACCTGACCTTGCAAATTTCACTACGTTCCTTTCGCCATCTAGCAGAGAAACAAGGTACCATACTTAGTAATGAAGAAGTGGATAAAATCAGATGCTAAATTAAGAGAAAAATATTCAGGGTGACTCAAGGTAAACCAAATTTATATACCCTGTGTTTTCCCTGTACTTTCCCTGAGTTATTAACATTTTCCCCAGTGTTACATACCATTACATTACTTATATAATAGCACTATTTTATTATAATTATCATTTCAAATAAATAGCAAATTCTCTTTGTATTTCATGTTCTATGCATATATGTATGAAATATATATTGTGTTATCTTTCGAAAAACAAAATATATTATAATTTTATTACATCACATTTGAAAAATCACAAACTCACTGATCTTTAATTTAACATGTTTTTGATTCGTGATTTGAATTTTTCCTTCAATGTTTTAATTTTTGTTTCAAGTTGAGATTGCTTAATGTGCAATTCTTCTTTTTCTTCCTACCGCTTACGCAGTAAACAGAAAATTATGTGATGCGTGAAAAAAACGGGAAATTATCAGCAGAAAAACTCTGGTTCTGATAATGAAAAAGTAGATAAATTCAGTTGTTAAATTAAGAATCAAATGGCTCTTGATTTGCTTTTGAAATCTAGAAATAGCTTTTTGCCAGGACATTGCAGATGCACTAGATACTCATGATAGATTCGATGTGGCGGTAATAGGCTTTACAAAGGCGTTTGATCCTGTCCTCATTGGTAGATTACTTGAAAAACTAGAGAGAATAGGGTGTCCCAGCTAGTCAGAGTGGGAAACAGCTTGTCGGAAAGAGGGTAACCTCTAGGGTTCCACAGGGGTGTACTTGGACCTTTACTATATTTGGTGTATGTATATAACATAGCAGATGAAATAGGCTCAAAAATTAAACTTTTTGTGGACGACTGCCATATTTATAGACAGATGAAGAACATATCGGATCAGGATAAATTACAGTGCGACTTGCGATACTTGGAAGAATGGACAGAAATCAACAGAATGAAGGTAAATTACGATAAATGCAAAATTGTCAGTTTTACGAATAATAGAAATAAAGGGACAGCTAAGTATTTGCTTGGGGTTAAGATAATTCCACGGATAACTAGTGCTAAATATCTTGGGGAGCACGTCAACTTTACTGTTGAGAAGACATGGAAATCATTATACTTTATAATACAAGTGTTAAGGAAGGGAAGTAGTAAATCAAGATAACTAGCATGTACTACCATTGTGTGTCCAGTATTACAGTATGCAGCAGCATGTTGGGATCCATATAAACAGGGCCAAAAAATTCAAGAGTTCAGAAAGTACCAGCAAAATTTGTTAAAAGAGAAATTCATTAACAAATTTTCCAACAAAGTATCGACATGGGAATCATTGGCAAGACATAGGGAAAAATCAAGGTTGTGTGTATTTAACAAAGCATTAGCGAGCATTAGCGAGGATTTAACAAAGCATTTATCCTCACCTCAAGGTGATACCTTCAACAGTCAACCATGAACAATAAAAATGAAGTGGAACTACTCAAGTGGTCCAATGTGGCCAATCAAGTTAATAATAATAACAAAGCATTAGAGAAAAATGTGGTAAGTAGGGAAGTTCAGGAAAGAATTCAACAACTCATTTACTTAGCATGTTAGAAAAATAAGTCCAAGGAAACAGAAGAGATGTTGGAAAATAGGTATTTGTAAATAGGAAAATTGAGTTAATAGCTTGCCTGGAGCACTAATAGAGACTTTTACCACAAACATCAAAGCTTTTAGGTTAGATTAAATTCTGTGTGTGTCAAAAGTGTTGCAAACGATAAGATCAGTAGTCTGTGAAGGGCCTCTGCATTTAGTAACCTACAAAACCTAAGAAATAATATCATACTATGTATAGTATTGAATTGTATGTATTTTAGTTTTCTTTATTGTATTATATGAATAATAAGTTTGAAGAATTTGCCACTGGGCTTAATGCCCCAAGAAAATTAAATAAATTATCTATCAAGAAAAAAATGTTTATGATAGGTAATACCACGAGTGCTTTGGAAATTGTTGATAAATTCCTGACTTGCGAAGCATGGAGGGGATTTATCTAAGAATTTCCAAAGTAAGAGTGGACTTTAATAGAACTACTCCACGAGTGAAATTATGTACAACAGAGTTCCAAAATGCGTTGAATTTAAATTGAAAATAACTGAGAGCGTGTGTTAAAATCAGAGGTAATGTTATAGTACATATGCTGTTTATTGGGTGTCTACATAACGATCAATGTATACTGGCTCCTAAGATAGATGAGTCGCAGTTTATGAATGGCCTGTAGGTAGAAGCAGTAAGAAAAAACAGATAGAAAAAACTGTAAGCTTTTAGAGATACACCACCCTGATTGGGGCATTTTGTACATATAGTAAAATACTATTGGTTTTAATTTCACAAGAGGAATAGTCATGCTATTGTAGTTGAAGGAAGATGCCTATTTTTATTTTTATTTTTATTTTTTAATAGTAGCAATTTTTGAAAAATTAGATTTCTTTTAACCATGGAGACCGGCATCATTTTATTAAACGTCCTTCAGATTATACAAAAACAAAATTTCAACAAAAACGCTGGAACTGTTTTTTTTTAAATTTTGAAACAGTCTCCACGATTTCATGCGAAGTATTCCCCAAAATTAAAATATTGATTTCAAATTCAAAGAGCTATGACATCAGCTAGATCGATTTGGGAATATCAATTGTGGACAAAATCAGTTGAATGGTCAGACAGAGTCAGCCGAACAGATGTTCTGCTATCAATCGATTTTTCAGTATCAAGGACCAACAAAACATGGATTTTGGATGCACCAAATATGTGTTAGAGATCCAATATGTGTTAGTTTTTTTTTCCTTCAAAATTTGGCATCAGGATTTATCCACTTTTTCGTTGCTAGGTTGCTTTTCGTCCCTATAATAGTTTTTCTGATGAAAATTCGCCATTTATTCGTGCCGCATTACGTAACTTTCTCTCAAACGCGACAATGGTAGGGAGAAAGTAAAAATTGCCTATATATTTATTTCAAGCTCAATTCCGCAAAAAATGCCCAAAATTTGGGAAAATTGTACATGACCTCATTTCAAAATCTATCTTTAAGGAACAGATTTCATTAAGGGAAAAGATCTTTAATATTTTAACTGTATGTTTAAGTTTAATGTTTTATTCTATAAAACAATGTTTTATAGAATACTGCGTAATTATTGATTTATGACTTAAAATGACGTAATTAACTTAAAATAGTTATTTAAAAACGTTTCTTATAATTAATAAAAAATTCTTACAAATAATTTTATCGTAGATAATTAATTCTGTCAATTATTATTATTGTTAGCTCGAATGAAACATGGACAATCAATTTTTTGAATATGATAACTTATTTTCCTGTGTTTTGTGAAATTATTCTTGCTTCTCTGTATTATGACAGTTTATACAATAACAATTAAATTTATTCATGTTCATTTCATTTCTAAAAGTAAGAAATGACTACTTCTCCTGACAATGAAAATATATGAAGTTAAGCCCAAGCAATTCATTTGAATTAGACTTTTTCAAGTAATAACCGAGTTTATAGGATGGCAGAAATTGCAATATTTTAATAATACGTAACTATTTTTGATCAAGCCAGAAAGTGTGTGCTGTTGTAGCACCTCTAGTTTAAAATAAATTCTTTTAAATGGTAATTCACTACATCCTATAATTTATTACGATGTCTCACTTTATCTTAACAATTTTCAACAGATAATACAAACCAGGCCCAAGAAATTGGCAGCCTCTTGCACGAACAGCGGCCCACAAATTAGCTGAGAGCTGTTGGGGATTTTGATGTTGCAAAATTAACTCCGTAACAGTCCGTTCTCCTAAAGATCTTGCAGCTCTCATTGCTCGAGATCGACCTTCTTCTTCCATCAACTGACAATTGATTAAGGTTACCAACTTGCGTTGCATTGGTCTTGATAGTACACTTGTTCCACCATTGCTGTTTCCTACAAAAATGAATAAAGACGACATTTTAATGCAAGCAGAGTCATACCACACAATTAAGACATACCAAAAGAATGCAAGTAGTTTATTCACTAACAGGTTTATTTCAGAGTCCATTTATTTGTCTGAATGTAATCTACTTCATTCACTCATCCTGTTTTAATTTTTTTTCTCATTCTACAAGGTACTTCTTATTTTGGCAAATTAAACTTTTATCACCCTTGCCCCAAATATGGCTTTAATAATACACTACAAAATGAAATCCCATATGTCAATATAGACCCATGCCATCAGATGTGACGTTTACAATGAATTTTAAATACACGATTTGGATGTTATTAAAATTACTTTTCTTTTCTAATTTTAACAATTTTGAAATGAAAGGTTTCTAGTGATTCTTGGAGTCAGTGGTACAAATCTAGTTTTCAAAATTACTTCTAAGAGATAATTATTTACCTGTTCTTTATGTAATCATTTGAACAAATTGTCTGTTAAATTGAAACTAAATAAATAATTTTCATTAAAACTGTCAAAGCTGTTAATCTGCATTACAAACACTATACAGGCATGATTTTTTGATATTCTTTTGGTTCTTTAAAGTGGATATGGGTTTCAAGTACATTTTGATAAATAATATTTAATTTAGTAACAAGTTGTATAAATGTGCAATTTTCACCAATCCTTATAATTTTCAGGGAGTCAAGAGTACCAGCAGTTACTTTAACTTTGTCTCAGTTACTATTTATATATCAATCTTAAAAATTATTGTTGTGAATTATTGTCTTTTAACATAATTAAATTTTGTAAATGTGAAAATCAGGCACCCATTAAATTACTAAATTGATTTGCTGATTCATTTGGCTTGTAGGATGCATTGACTCATGGTGCCTACCTATCACCTGAATTTCTTCTACCAGAGTTTTCCCTGGATTTCCCTACAAAAGAAGTTGATAGTGCCAAGAAGAAGATCTGTGTGATTATGGAGGTAATGAATCCTGCATAAATGCATGCAAATGCTTTTTCTAGGTGAAGAATTTGAATCCAGAATTATTTCTACATTTTTGCTAACTGATAAGGAGCAATTGCCTTTCAATAACGCACTTGAAGGGAAAAAATCTGCAAAGACATCAACTAACAGTGATGCTTTCATAAGCTCTCCTATTACTGATCCTTTTTCATTTATAGCAATGGCAAACAGTGACACAGAACTTATCTCCAGATCTCCAAGAAACCTGTTATTCAAATGATGGTCAAAAGAAAACTTTTCACCAATAGAAACAGAAAGATTTTGAAGCTAGGAAATCTACCAACTAAAATGAAGACATTCCCAAAATATAAGTGGGGGCGAAGAAGGCCCTACCTCCAGGAGGCGTCTTAGTTTTCCTAGATATCGAACAAGATGCTTTCGTGGTAGCACAAAAGAGGAGGGTCTGAATAGCTACGGTCAGAAGATAATTCTTGGCTCATCAGTTTGATTGATAAGTGATTCCAGGTGCGTAAGGTCGTTTGCCCCGTATGTGAAGTGCATGTTTTTATCGCGTGAGATGGCAGTTATGTTTCCTCATTGGATGGCGACATCCAACGCCAACCTACGTCGGCTTGCAAAGATTTTTCTCAAATAAGTATCTCCCACCAGAGGGGCACCATCCCAGCCGGGACACGCTCTAAGCTCCCGACAAGTGCAGTAGAGTAGGGCATGTTAGTGTCAGTGTGTGTAAATAAGGGAAGATGACAGTACAAGAGGACAGTACATGAAGGAAAGATGATGCGCATAGCCCGTTTGTTAGGGTAGTGTCCCGGTATATGCCTGGTGTTGAGCGAAGAAACCACGGAAAACTACAATATCCATCTTCAAAATTTACACCAATTTCAGTCTTCCAACAAATAGTTATTTACTTCCCTTTTTTGGTGGGGCTATTCACTGACACACATTCAATTCTACTCCTGAACCACACTTTATATTTCACAAAAAAACGCCATTCCCTGCCAATGTCTCAGCTCTCACTTTCGTCTTACCACACCAAAAAAAATATTTCCCTCTTAAATGAAGTTTTACACTTTCATGCACTGTAAAATTTACTAATACGGTGTGATTAAATTACTCGATCACACAGATTTGCATATTATTTTCACTTTCCATAACAATGAGATATGGAATATTTAGGAGTGCCACAAATCCCATGAAGACTTCTTTGCGTTAGTGTTACAGGAGAAATTATTTAATAGTAATTGTTTCAAGAAATGGTAGGCTGAGCTGGTCAATATACATATTTGTTTTCTATATTCATATTAATACAAACATATTTGTAGGCAAAGTTCTGAAACTAGTATTTATTTCTTCTAGGTCATTTAAATATTTGGTTTATTTTTTAAAGCTTAATAACAATGCCAATGATTCAACAATGCCTATTGACCTTATCAAGGCTCATATCAGGCCTTCATTTTGTGCATTACACACATCAAGTTAAATTAGTTAAAACAACAATAATTACAAAAAACATCAATATTTTGACAACACTGTAATTACATGTATTTAAGAAATAGGGAAGACAATTTGGAAAAGGAAGTGGCAGATTGCTTTAAATTGAATACTTTAAATGAATACCGTATTTACACGATTATAAGCGACACGGATTGTAAGCCAACCCAAAAAAATAATGAACGAAATAACGGGGGGAAAATGGAATTTATTTAAACATAAGAAATACATTTGATGCTTAACGCACTCAGACCACTGATTTCTATCCATTTTAGATATCATTGACTCAGATACCATCGTCAAACGATTCAGATTCCTCACTTGACTCTGTCACTTTTGTCCATGAAAAGGAAGTCATCCTCGCTGCCGTCAAGGGCATTTGAGATTGAACACTTTTTGTAAGTCCTTGCGACAACTTTTCTAGGAATACCATTCCAGGCATCATCCACCCAAGCGCAAACTTGCGATAGAGTAGCCCATTTCATGGTAATTCAGCAATCATATTTAAAGTTTATGGAGGATTTTTATGAACATAGTACAGTATGGACATAATTTTCATTCAACTATTTTGGTTTGTTGGTCGAAAAAAATACAATATCGTAGTCAGCTCTAGGCCAGTCCGTGTATTTCTTTTAAATCTGCCGCAACGGGCGGGGGTCTGGCGCGCTGACGTCCAGGCTGCGGCCCACTGCGTGACATCAGCTGGCCAGCCGGAGGACGCGAGATTTCACAATTAATTACTCGGAAGTCTGAAGAGCAATTAATTTTTTCGTTATTATTTAGCAATTAAATCGCTCTACAAGAAGGCATATTTAGTTTTGTGGTAATGCTAGCTTAAATCTTAAGTGTGAGTATACCTTTAATTACTCGGAAATTTGAAGAAGAATTAAATTATTTTTGCGTAATTAATTAGCAATTAAATGTTTCTAAATGGCATATTTGGTTTTGTGATAACCGATTGTGGCATGCCAGCTTAAGAGAGGTCATTAAATGCGCTGTTCGTGCTGAAACCAATTCTCATATGACGTTTTGTCCCCCGTATGTTGTGTTTTGAAAAATTGTTAGGAAATTTTCATTTTGTTAACAAATGGTTTTCATAAAATAGAAAAATCAAAATATGTGAAATATTATTAGAATTATATGAAATATAAAAATATTATTAAAAATTTAATTATTACTTTCTTTATTATTATTATTATTATTATTATTATTATTATTATTATTTTCCAAACTCAGCATTTTATCATTGCATGAACAAGCTAGATTTCCTTCGAAAGTAGAGGAACAGCTGAATCAATTTAGAAACAACCATGCATTTGGGTAATGTGTTACACTCTTCTCGGACACAAAACTGAAGGTGGGCAGTAAATCAAGAACTGTTGAAGTGTATAACAAATCTCACTAGAAAAGGGAGTTGCAGTTAGTGACCATGCAACATAGTATGTTGTAGTCTCCAGCTGAACCGGTATTAAAGGGCACCAATGGGTGGAGATCTGTTCAATAAAAACGAATTTCACATTATTGTAAACATGTAAGTACCCAATAAAACACAAAAAAATGACAATTTGAAAAAGATTGTAATTATTTAGACAAAAACAAAAATGAAACAAAAAAAAAAAAAACCATTGGACATTCTAGAGTTACAAACAAATTCAACACAGATACATTTTACTTTTTCGCACTTAAGAAGGAACTTCTTAAGAAGAGGAAGTTATGTAATACTGCGTGAAAAAACAGTGAATTTTCAGCAGAAAAACATATTACAGGGCCCTGGTAACGAAAGTGTGGATAAATCCAGTTCCTAAATTTAGAGAAAAAATCCCGTAACAGGTGGTGTAGCCAGAATCTGTTTTGTGGGCCTTTGATACCAAAAAATCGATTGACGGCAAAACGTCTGTCCATCCGTCTGCCTGTGGAACAACACTAGCTGCTAAACCTTGGATTTGAAATTGATATTTTCATTTTGGCGGGTACTTTACAAGAAGCCCCAGGGGCATTTTGAAAAAAATTGCACCACCGATTTTGATTACAATTTATTGTTGGATAGTCAGAAGGACGTTTAAGAGAATGGCGCAGGTCTCATATTCGTTGAAACACGGATTTTTCAAAACTTGAAGAAAACGCATTTTTTTTCGTCTTCCTACAAGTAAAATATTAGATAGAGATTTTTTCCCTCAATAAAAGCTGCCCTTTAAAGATAGATTTTCAAATAAGGTCATGTACACTTTTTCGAAAATTTGAGAATTTTTCGGGAATTGTCGCGTGAAATATAAGCAATTTTTAATTTTCGGTTAAACAATTTTTTCTCAAATGCGATTCCATAATTTTTGATGGAATTTTGTTTGTGGATAATCTGAAGGACATTGAAGAAAAATTGTGTAGGTGTTGGTTGAAAACCTTGATTTTTCGAAAATTGAAAAAAATTCAAAACTTTTTCGGCACCTTCCAACAACTACAATTATGAAGATACAATTCTTTTTCTTAATGAAATGTGATTATCAAAAACAGATTTCAAATAAGGTATGTTGAATTTTTCGAAACTATAAGTATAAGTATTTTTGAAGTAATTGGGCGTCAAAGTTAGTTGCCTGCTCTAAAAAAAATTGTGCTTTATCGTGTTTTGAGGCAGTTGTATGCTACATATACACAAGGATGTATTTAGTATTGCATATTTCATATTTCTTTGTTCGTTTCTTACATCGGAGATTTTGCTATTTGTTTCCAAATTAATTTTTTTAGAAATTATTTAAAACCTATTTGAAATGAATGTGAAATAAAGACTGCTAGCCTTCAGTCGGCCGCTCGCAATTTACGAAATTGGATGCTACGTAAGTTAGAATTTTTAAATTATTTCATGTATCATTTTATTATTTATTATATATTTATGTTATTTCATTTTAAATTGCGTCCTTTTACTAAATTGTGTTAAATGTGAAAACGAGTACACGAGTGGTCATTGCTAGCTCGTACCCACTGTCGTACCGCCGCGCCGCACAGATAACACAATTATGACGGGTGCTTCTCGTTTGTGGAAATAACGAATACTTTTATATATTTGTAGAATATGACAATACCATAGTGTTTAATAATTACTATTATATTTCCTTGATCTATATGTTTTCCAACGCTATTATTTATTAACTTTTAAATATTTTTCTTTTTTGCATTCTGATGTTTCGCACCAAATATTCTATGATTTCAAATGAGTTTTGCAAAAAATAATTCGGATAGAAATTGCGATAAACTTCATACAACTGATTTAAAATACAAAACATGAGGATATAATAAAAAAAGCATTTCTTACGTGATCATGAAATAGTTAAACTAAGCGATTCAAATATAATGGAACAATACCTGAAGAAAACGGCTTCAAGTACAAAGCTAGTTCCTCGATACATTTTTTTGCCTGTAGATAGTTCTTTAAATCTTCTTTAGTAAGATGTTTTATGTCTCCATTTCCTTCCCCTTCTGGCACACTGGCACCCACAAGTTGAAGTAATGCAATATTCACAGGCAAGTTTTCAATACCTGTATTGATAATAGTCTGAAAAATAAAAATGCGAATTAGAAATAAAAACATGAACGAATATGAAATACAATATTCAAAATGGCTACACAAAACTTTACTGTCCATATTTTGAAAACAGTAACCAATTCAAATTTGACACAAGATCAGAAATAAGCATTAACTCTCTGGCAGGTATGCTATTGTAGACTAAATCAAATGGCATTGAGTCCAGGTATAAGTTCCGGATTATTTTCTCACCCGAACTGTGTCACTCTTCATTTGTTAATTTCGATTTTTAGGTCTGCCACCTGTAGAAATGTAGGCTTCAGAGACAAAATTCAGAGACAAAATGGCACAGAAAACAAAATACGCACAATTTTCAGTTTTTCGGCTCTATCTCGCAACTACCCTTTTCATTGGATTTTAAGATACACAGTTAAAGACGACGTTTCCTGCAAAATGCATATACCCTTAGACTGCCATGTGTATAAAATTGATATTTTTTTTCTCGTCAGGAGAAGCCATTTGTATAATAATGATGCACACACCTTGGTCTCGTTGGAGGTCCGTGGATAGGCTCAATATATGTTTTCCGCTATCCTAGCAAAGAAGAGTCGATTGATTCATTGATTGAATGGCCTCTCAGTGTAACGTATTGTAGTGATATTGCGCTTGAAGCATGGCTGCAAGAAAACAGTACACTGACGAACCGCGACAGATGACTCCTCGAGTGATAGTAAGAAAATCGTATGTATGGTATGCCAAAGTGTTTTTTGTGATTTACGGTAATAAACGCATGAATTTACTATTGTTAAATAATCAATGAAAACATATTCGTATTACGTGGGTTTATAGCTCTTGATAGGGCTACCAGAGGGTAACTCTGGGGAAGGTCTATCAATGGTGTAAGTCACCCAACTGGATCTATACTCCAGAGGAGAGCCTCAACGGCATCTTGGAAGAAAAAAGTAGAATTGACGAAGATGGCGGAAGAGACGCCTCGAACACTTAACCGCAGCGTCTGATCCGCGGCGGGCGGCTACAAACAGCGTGCCTCCGTGTTAACGGTGTGTGCATAAATAGCGGGAAGTTCATAGAGACGGAAGGTTCATGAACCTTTGGATTTCCTGTTATCAGCCCATGGATTGTACAGGAGAGAAACTGGGTTGGCACACCACACCACTGATTGGAGTGGAGGCCCGAACTCTACATTAGCCAGCGAAAGAGGCTGCCTTCAGCAGCGAGTGAAAATGCCGCCGGGATTAGTAATGCCGAGGATTAGTAATGATTAAGGGACCCCGTGCTGGGTTCTGCGGGGGATGTCCTGATGCCACTGTGGGTCGCAGTAACGGATGATAGGAATAACTCATGGGTTAAGTGTGATCTGTGAACTCGAACTTGCTTCCTCGATGCAGCTATTCAATCACTCGCAAGATCCAGAAATTACGTAACAAGCTACTGTGATAATGATTTAGTCTGAAGATTTTTGTGGAATATAAAAGAAACGAATTCTGTGAATACTAAACATTAGCGAACAAGCTTGAGGAATATTCCGAGTATATAATACGAGGTAGAAAAGGAAACGTTCGGTTAGATACTTTGGATTATGGAGCAACTCCCGAAATTGAGATACCGCAAAGAGAAAGATTTATTATAGAAAACTATATTCCTGTCACCCAACAGCTTTCTTCGTCACTGAATGACAGGATATCTGCGTACATCTGAGCATGAGCTCATATATGCGAACGATTCGGATTCCTCAGCTGCACAGACGTTACGGAACCGAATAAGTTATCTGAAAGCGCAAAGACTTTGAGATATATGAAAATGATTTTGAATTTAATCTCGCAAATGTGTTGGTGCAGTTTTCGGAAGTCATTCAAAACTGTATAAAGGTGAATACAACAGTAAAATAGCCAAAGAATTGTTGATTGTTAGCGTTTACGATCGCGCAAACCACTGAGGTCATTAGTCCCGTAAGTGTAATGCATGTTTTGTTCGGGATGTGGCAGTGATCTTTCCCCGCTGTATGGCGAGATCCGGCGCCGACCTACCGTCGACTAGTGGGGTTTCCCATCAACCATGTATCTCTCGCCAGCGGGGTACCACCCTAGCCGGTACAAGCTCCAAGCTCCCGACCGGTCTCCCGGCATGTGGTAGTGTAGTGCATGTTAATGTAAGTGTAAGGGGTAAGCATAGGACAAGGAAGAGGTAGGAAAGATCGCGCGCGGTCCGTGGCCCGTTTGGTAGGGTACTGCTCCGGCATTCGCCTTGTGTTGATAGGAGAAACCACTACCGATCAGAGCAGCAGACCGCTAGAATTCTCCTTCAGACAGCGACTGAATTCAACCTAGCTGACAAGCCAGGGTCGAGAATCCTGCCACCGTCGGGATTCGAACCTAGGACCTCCCGGCCAGAGGGACCGCAGTGACATCAGTTGCCCTGAGCATCTCTCCCGGTCCAAAGCACTGTTCTTTTATCAAATTGTACTCAATTTTAAAGCAACTTTTCTAAATGTAAAAATTATTTTCAGAACTTTTTTGTGTTGATGGCTATAAATTGTAGCGGCTAAAGATCTTTTCTCTAAACTCAAGTTGGTGAAAAATCGATTGCGCCGCATCGTCTTTCTCGCCGTATTCGGATGAGTCAACACGATGTTTTACGCGAAATTAATTCCAACGATATCATTGCAAAAATTGTTCAAAAAAAGTGTTGAAAGATCATTTAGCATATATTGTTATATTTATATATTAACTATTTGATTTGCATACATGAAAGTATAAAAATATTTTATTACCTACAGAGACCCCACATTTTGTCAGCCCAGGGGCCACCATTTTTGGTAATCCGACCCTGCCACATATTTATTTCACTTGTGTACTAATGTACCATTAAACAATACGTAAGCCTCGGTAAGTCAAATGTTTTAATCCGCAACCTTCATGGAGCGAAACAACCGTAAATCGAAACACTTTCCGTTTCCCTTGCAATTCGACTTATCGAAATTTGTAATGTTAAACAGTGCAAAATGCAGAAACATTAAAAATCAATACGGTGAATTTGGGGTCTATCGGCGACCCAGTTTAAAGAACACAAAATTTAAGTCACCGCTCAAGAATGAATAAAATAACAACACACGTAAGTTCCGCCTGAACCAATCAGAATTCAACGTACTGATCGTTTCGTTTCTAGCTTTTCTTCGGCTTTCTCTATCTGTTTAACCCTTTCGTATATAAGAGTAATTGTAGTGAGCTTTAAATCAAGTCTGTCAAGAATATTTTAACTGCCGCTTGCAGATTGTGCCATGGAGATAGAGATGTGGACGTGTAACTTGCAGTTGCAAGCTTCGCCAACAATAGTGTGAAGGGCACTATATTTAAAAAGACGTAATAAGCGCAAAGAAAGGCGTTGGTGGATTCAGCCCTTGAATGTAAGACGAGAAGAATAAGGGGAGTTCAGCAATCTTCTATAGGAAATGACAGAAGATCTCTACAAATTGTTTTATGCATATGCGAATGACACCCGAGCAGTTGGACAACGTAATAAGAGTTCTCCACTTATGCAAATGAGAAGCATTACTAATTCCCTTGATGACAAACGCGACATTATTTAATCACCAGCAAATTGTGAATAGCATTTTTTAATTATAAAAAAAATAGTATAGTTTTTTGGCCGCTTGCGATTAGTTGCCAACTATTGTTTCACACATGTGGACATTGGTTCGTACGGTTCACATAGTAACAGTAGCATTTTCAATCCAAATTGGTCCCAAAATTGAATACTAATTTGTTTCCACTCCCTTCACCTGGTAATAAAAATGACGTTATGCCTCGTTATTTTGTAGGTGATGCAGACGCCCCTATAAAAAAAACCCTAATGAAACCATTTCCAAAGTCATTGACCAATGTCAGGAACAAAATTCACAATTATCGCCTATCACCTGCTCGGGGTGTTATAAAAAATATATTTGGCATAATGATTTCACCGAGTTATCAATGCAAAGCCACATTTTGTTGACATTATGAAAGCAACAATGTGCCTTCAAAATTGTCTGCAGTGTACTGAAAATAATTCCACAAATAAATCCTATTATTCATTTTCATATGTGGACGGGCAACTGTACAAGGAAACTGAAAAAGTGCCTCAGGATGGGGGGCATTTTATCATTTAAATTGTAGAATTGATGCATGTAATGCAAACGCGCCATGGAACTGGCGGGCAACTGGTTGAGTACCTGCTGTGAGCTTGGAGGTTGAAATTATTTATTCTTAGAAAATCAGGATTTAACAAAAATTAAAGTATAAATCAAGTAGTAAGTTCATTTCTGTTTGTTACATGCTTTTCTGGCTTCAATCATTCCTCTTTACTTTCGTAATAACCTGTTATTTGAAGTATTGCCTCATGTTTTTAAATCTTCTGGCAACATGCCACGTTTTCAGCGACAAACGGAGCAAATGGCTCCTCTCCTCTAGTGCCAATTCTTTTTACCAGTAAGAGGTCACTTTATTACTCGCTTCTGCAACATCTGGCAGTAACTGAAGATTTGATGCATTATCTATTCATGCAGCTAGAAGTTCTCTTGTCAGGAGGTGAAGTAATTAACTCTGGAATAGGAGGGGGTCAGTTCATCATTTCTGTTACTAGCATCTCTTGTAGTCACATTGTTCACTGCGTCATCTCCTGGCACAAACGTCTGCTTCTGATCCGTTGGCATTAAAATTATGCTACTTTCTTGGCTATGTAGGATCATCCAGAAACGATGGCTTCCATTAGATGACAGTGTTTCTTTGGGATGATCCAGACCCACTTTTTGAGCTCACTTCTTTAAGTTGTTTTTTCCTTTGGCACAGCTTCCTACGTGTTTTCAGCCTATTCTGGCGCTGCATAGTTCAAAACTTGAGATATTTTCAACCAGGTGTTGTCTTTCTTCACTATATCTTTGTAGACCATTTCCTTTATCGTATAAACAAGGATTCTCTTGCACCAAGTTGATGAATAAGTCTTTGAACCTAATAATTTTGCTCAATATCAAGTTA